GTTAGGATTTCTGGGAACTGAAGGCCAAAACATCTGGGGACCCACAGGTTGAGAACCACTGGTCTATAGTAGGTCTGTACAACTTGCAGCCCTCCAGGTATTTTGGACTTCAGCTCCCAGAATTCCTGACCATTGAACAAGCTGGCTAGGGGCACATGACCTAGGTGGTGTCTATGGACAATGCAGGCCCTTCGGCTTAGAAATAGAAATGAGCACAACCCCCAGAGTCAGAGATGAAGGGGAAGCCTTTACCTTTATCTGTGTATCTTTGTTTCATTGTTGCGAGGCACTGAATGTTTGCCTTGTGCCTGTATATGTCTGTATTTGATGGAATCCACCCTGAGTACCCTCAAGGAGATAGGGCAGAATACAATTATTTATTTATTTATTTATTTATTTATTTATTTATTTGAAACACAACAAGACGAGTCCACAGCAGACAAGACCACTATGCTGACTATTGTATTGGATCACACGTCAGACACTTCTCAAATGTCTAGGACTGTGTGCTGTATCGACGAATGATGCATCCAGATCCCAGTAAGGTGGCCTTCTGCAACTGGCAGATGGAAAATTTGTCAGCGTTGATTGTGTTTAAGTGCAGGCCAAGGTCTTTAGGCACTTATTATTATTATTATTATTATTATTATTATTATTATTATACAGTCTTCCCCAATTGGATGATGTTCTCTCACCAGTAGTTATATTAGTTGAAACTGATAGGAAGTGAAGTGCAGTTTAGAAGCACCAAGTTTAGGGGGGAAATAGCAGTTCTGTGCTGACGAACAGGCTTAGTGATGAGAACAAAATCACATTTTCCCTCTGAAGTCGTTCTGGGATTTTGACAGCTGGTTGTTCTTTCCCATTTCAATTGCACTAGGAGATCTGGATTTCAGAACAAATGTGCCTGAATTTTGTGTCTGCCCAGATACAGTTTATTAAGCAGTTTTTTTTGTATTGAAGTAACAATTTGCTTTTGAGCAGGTCAAATTAGCACCAGTGTAGAATTTGTCGGGAGTTATGAGTTGTCCGATTTTTATTTCCAGTCAAATCAAATGTAATTTAATACACCATAACTAAGATCTGCCACAAGATATTCCAAAAGCACTGGGTTGTTGTAGGTTTTTTTCGGGCTCTATGGCCATGTTCTAGAGGCATTCTCTCCTGATGTTTCACCTGCATCTATGGCAAGCATCCTCAGAGATAGTGAGGTCTGTTGGAACTAGGAAAATTGGGTTTATATATCTGTGGAATGACCAGAGTGGGAGAAAGAACTCTTGTCTGTTGGAGCTAGGTGTGAATGTTTCAACTGACCACCTTGATAAGCATTTGATGGCCTGGCAGTTTTTTGGCATGGCTTGTTAGCGCCTGGGGGAATCTTTTGAGAAGTGATTAGTTGTCCCTGATTGTTTCCTCTCTGTTGTTTTGCTGTTGTAATTTTAGAGTTTTTTAATACTGGTAGCCAGATTTTGTTCATTTTCATGGTTTCCTCCTTTCTGTTGAAATTGCCCACATGCTTATGGATTTCAATGGCTTCTCTGTGTAGTCTGACATGGTGGTTGTTGGTGTGGTCCAGCATTTCTGTGTTCTCAAATAATATGCTGTGTCCAGGTTGGTTCACCAGGTGCTCTGCTATGGCTGACTTCTCTGGCTGAAGTAGTCTGCAGTGCCTTTCATGTTCCTTGATTCATGTTTGGGCACTGCGCTTGGTGGTCCCTATGTAGACTTGTCCACAGCTGCATGGTATACGGTAGACTCCTGACAATACATTCCAAAAACAATTCTACATTTCTTAAAATATCCATCGATATTTTTTTTAATCTCAAAGACAAGAAAAATCAATGTCAGAGATGGCCAACCACCAGAGTTGGAGTCAGCCATACCTAATACATTACCCAACTTCCTACATGTCTAAGCTGAGTTTGGAAAAGATGCAGTCTGAAAAGCTCCCAGAATGGCTGCATGAGCCTAGGAGTTTTCATCCAAGATGCTCCTTTCTCAAGATAGTACAATTCACAATATACTAAATAAAGGGATGCTATCTTACTTTGATTTGGAAAGTTAAGTAACACGTTCCTATGCTGGGAGGGAAGGCTGCGGAGTCTTCAAAAATGAGCTTTGTGTGGTTTTTCAAATGAAGCTTTTCAGTAAACCCAGCCTGAGATGATTTCAGACGTAATTAATCTGAGATGAGAAGTCTGCCAAATATTGCTCTTGCCTCCTCATGTGATTCAAGGTTTATAAGTTCCAAAGAAAACTAATTGAAACGGAATCTTTCCTTAAAGGCTACAGAGGCAGATCAAAAGCAGAATTGCCACTGATCCCTCATTTCTGTCATTGGCCAAATCCTTTTCAGGGAATGAGGCAGGGCCTTTGTTCAGGATTTTTTTGGTTTTTCTCTTTCCAGGAAAAATAATTTGCAAATATTGTGTCACACAGAAAAATCTCTTTCTGGTCAACTGTGAATGACAAAGGATTCTTAAAGAGAAGAGGTGATGATGATGATGATGATGATGATGATGACAAGGTAGAGAACCTGGTGAAGCAGGGTAGGAGGTAGTCATAGAGGAGATAGTAGCCCCTGGGAGGCACCTGGATCTGAAAAGCTAACACACTTGTTTTGCTTTATACCTCTGACTTTGGCAACACTTGGAAAGCATGCTCACATGCTTTTCTTTGCCTGTCTGTGGATCTGAATCCTTTGAGAATGGCTTTTTCTTTACTAGGCTCTTTGGAAAAGAGTATCAGTATTTATAACTGAGATCAAGATGCCTTTGTATTTCGCCCAGTCCCTTTTTCCTGACCTGGTGACTGACTCCAAATGGCACATTGGCAATGTGATTGACAGGCCAGAATCATGTCCCGGAAACCAGCATGACTGTTATACATATAGATCCCTTCCCTCTCATTTATACTGAAACAACCAAAAGAAAGAAAGGAAATAATAGACTGGAGCTGTGGCAGAGAACCTAATTACTGATGAACCCCCTCCTCTTTGGGATGCAGGAAGCCTTCTTTAGTTCTTGGGACTGCAGAATCCATGTCTGTAGCTGGCATTGCTTTGTTTGAATCACAAGGCTGCTTAATTATTCTGCTGGCAGGGATCCTGGCATGCTGCTTTTTCTAACTTCGTAGGACTTCATTAGAAGAATGTATCAGTTGCTGGTGGATGTCTTAGGGAAAAGATGCTCACAGTTTGCTGGACTGTTCTTACTTCATGCTTCCCTGTTGACATGATGCCAAAGCAGAGAATTATGCTTCTCTAAACAGCAAGGTCTATTATTATTATTATTATTATTATTATTATTATTATTATTGATCATTACTTCTAAAATCAGTTGCTGTAGATCTAACTGTCTCCTTCTTCTTTCCTCCCTCTCTCTGGGTCTCTCAACTTCTAAATCGCTGCATTCTCCAAGCATGGATTTATCCATTAACCATTGGGCTTCGTTTTAGACTGCAGATGGAATGGCAATGCTTATTTTTTCAAATATGTGTTGATTTGTGAAAACTGTCCTAAAAGCTTTGAAAATCATTTGATCTCTCTCTCAAGATTATTTTGTCCTTTTTCCTGGGGTTGTGAAAGCTAATGTGTTGATTTCTATTCCTCTTTTGAATGTATTTTTAAATGACTCCATTTTCCTCCTTTTATGGGCAGATCTTTTTATGGCTAATGGTAAACTATAAGGAGAGGGAGCAATTGTTATTACTATTCTAAAGCTCTGTGGAATTCCTACTCCCCCAATGGATGGGACAATGAATGTTTTGGGGGCTTTTTTTGTATGGATGCAGTAAATCCTTTTTTGGGACTCAAGCCAATCTGTAAGTAGTGGGTGAGCGAGAGGAGCGGAGAAGAGAGACTCTTAGTTTATCTTTAAATATTGATTCTCAGACTCATCATCATCATTCCTAAATACTTGTATGTATCAGCCTTATGCAAGTGTTTAGTATTCTTAGATAATATGTAAAGAACTAGTAGGAGCATGTGGGGTTAACTCCAATTCACTTCTTCACACCATCACGAGGGAGTGCTCTCAGCCCTGTCCTCTCCCATCAGTAGCAAAGGCCAGAATAAGGGTTACGCTAAATCGCATGTAATACTTATCAAATCCCTACATAGGGATTTGATAAAGGATTTGAAAAGGTAGCATCACTCCCTTGCTTACACACCTTTTAGCCATAGAGGAGCAGTTTTATTCATGCGGCAATCTCTCAGAGCAGAGCTTTCCAAAAATGTGGGTCTCGACATATTTGTATGTCAGCTGCAATGTGTAGGTGTGTTGCACAAACGTAACATGAAAACTCTGAGTCTATGTGAAATAAGCAATAGATCATATACCGGTATTTTTTAAACCATAAATGGAAGGTTTTCATGAGATAGGTTGTGTCCCCATACATTTTGTTATTTCACTTTATGTATGTTTGCATTTCTCTTATAAGGGGTTCATTTAACCTCTGTTTTGCTGGTAACACAATTACTGTGTTGTGAAATGATGCGTATCTGAAAAGCATGTCACCAATATCAAATGCTTGGAAAGTTCTGTCCCAGAGTCTTTGGTTCTTCTTTCCATGGCTTAAGGGCTGAACAGCTGGGACATTCTTGGTCTGTAATTGAATTTCCCATCTCTTTCAAAACTAGCCAGAGAGGGGGGAAAGGAAAATGGGAACCATGGCACTAAAGACAGGTGAAGAAAAAAATTGGATTTTCCTCTTGCATTGTCTTCCCTTGATTCAAGACACTTTCCACTTTGTCAGGATCCCTGCTAAGACACTTCATTCCAGGTGAGGTCTAACCAAAGCAGGGTTGAGTAACACTAGTCCTTCCCTTGATCACTGTATTCCTGTTGAAGCATTTTAGAATTTCAGTGGCTCTTGGGTTGTTCTGTAAAGGTACTATATGGAAGTGATATACTGCTCAAACAGTTTAAAATGTAGTCTTAAGATATGGTACTTCGAAGAAGAGAAAAGTTGTATAATTGCAAAAATCTTTCTGCTTTCAGGTGACTAAAATGGTCAAAACTGTCACAACTAGGACTGTGCGCCAAGTGCCACTTGGACCTGACGGCCTCCCTGTGATGGATGGATCGTCTCCCATGGGCAGTTACACCGACTCTATAGACAGACGGCACATGAAGAATGGGGAGCGATACATCACACCACAGGCTTCTTCGACCTTGACCCGATCTTACAACAGCTATAATGACTCCTATCCAGACAGTCATGATGGCCAGTATCGCCCTTTTGTTAGCCACGATGGTTATGGAGACCTCTCTGACAACTATGGTAGCTTGTCCCGTGGCATAAATTACCGTCCACGTTATGCCTACGTCCCGGGGAACAATTACCGGCCAGAGGATGGTAGTTTCACGTTGCCAAGCAGAAGGGACAACTACGGCCCACTGCCCCAACCTCAGGTGCCAACAGGGAGCAATGCAGACTTGAACCGCTCCCAGCCAGAACGATTCCAGCCAGAGCCATATGGCCTTGAAGATGATAACCGCAGCCTTGGGGTCGATGATGAGGGCTATGAGCTTGATCCAGAATACTCAACAGTGAACCGCAGGACATCGGCTGGGATGCCTGAGAGAGGAAGGCCTCACAAAGGAAGGTAAAACAACTCTGCTGGATATTTGTTTTCTTTATGCATCCATTCCCATGAGTATTGTTCAGTGAAGCTTTCTCCAGCTGATGTCCTCCCATTCGTCTCAGCCAATCAGGAATGCTGGGATTGTGTAGTTAAAACATCTGAAGGGCTTCAGGTTTAGAAAGCTAGCTTGCTCTTTCCTAAACATTCAGGGTGTTTGTGTAGAGAAAAAAGTTTTTACATCAATGTGAACATAGCTGATTCTGTTATGAATAAGGAATCTAGCTTAGCCTTCTTCCAGACATGCTAGTTGTTTGCATATGCAATATTCATTTGTAGGATTGAGCAGGTAACCCATTTAACAATGGGCTGTTATCAGTTTAACTGAAAACCACTGTAAGGAGAGAAAAGGCAGGCCATACACAATTCATTCCTACAAAGCTTTCCAAAATGCCGGTTTGTTATTTAGAAGGCTGTCTGAAAAGGAAGACATAAAATTTTTATATCCGGAGGGCTTTCTTTCTTTAAAAGGTCTTCCTTTTTCCAAGACTGAATTTTGTATTTTGACATTATTTAGGCCATTTAGAAGGCTGAGTACCAGAGAACTGATTGAACAAGATCCACCACAAAATCTATTCAGGACATTAAGAAGAAGTTTCTTCCTCCTCTTTTGGAGTTTCTTTTGGTGTGTTTCTCTCTCTGTGTATTTAAATATGATCAAGGCACTTTGACAAGCAATTTAATTTGAATGCTGCTTGTAGAAATGTAACGAGGCAAGTGCAGGGTCTGCTATTTAAGGTGTTGTCTCTTCCTGACTTCAGAAATACCCAAAGCAATTTTTGCATGAATGCATTAGCCCTCATCTTTCATTTCCAAGGAGCCTCTGACAATAAATAATGTTTTCTATTTAATGATGAAGTTCAAGAGTAATTAGCCTTTGATTGCAGGGGGAGTTTTTTTATGTTCATTTGAGGGGTTTTTTTCTCTTTGTTTTTTCTTCTGAAAAGCAAGATCTGCACTGGATGACAATTGAAACTGACAAGAATAAATATAATGATGATGTCACATAGCTGCCAGCTCGACATGCTTCATCAAATGTCTTTGTTAATTTTGCCTCTTCTTGTCTTAATTTGGGGTTTCTTGTCAGATCCAGATTTGGTGTGTTGTAAGAGTAAGAACAGGGTGGTCTTTAAGTTTGCAGAGTTGATGGGCAATTTGGCTTTTCAAGGACATTGTGTAGGAGCCACCACAAAATGGTCAAGGTAGTTCTATCCAGGTAGAATCTCATTTTTTTAAAAAAGAAACCAAGCTGGTGTGTCTACAAAAGAACACGAATAAACAGCAGAAGTAGCAGTGTTATTCACTAACTAACAAAGCTATAGGATAAAACGGGGAGAGGAAGGGCCATCTACTACCTGAATTTCTAGAGATGGAAGGAGAATGGATAAATGTTAAACATGGAGAGCACGCTTCTCACAAGAATCAGTTTCTCTTGTTTTACATTCATCTGCTGGTGCTGACATGTTTTCTATATTGCCCTTTTGTCTATTTCAGTGATTCTCAACCTGTGGGACCCCAGATGTTTTGGCCTTCAGCTAACAGCCGGTAAACTGGCTGGGATTTCTGGGAGTTGTAGGCCAAAACACCAGGGGACCCACAGGTTGAGAACCAGTGGTCTATTTGATATCCGATTTCCATCAAAAAGCTTAGGTCAACATCTTTGGTTCTCCTGACCTTCATTTTGACAAAAATTTGGAGGAGGAGTTCAACCTGAGAGATAGCGACTTGCTCAAAATCTCCTCTATCTAGTGAGCTTCATGGCTGGTTGGAGGCTTGAACCTAGACTGTCCAGTCTCATTCCAGCAGAGTCACCAATTTACCATTCAGGCTTTTTACTTTTGCAATGCTATGAGGTCAAGGCAGCTCAAGGTTTCAAGGCTTGTTCTGAAAGACACTGATCATGGGGGCATCTCGGTGAATGACTGTAACAGAAAGAGCTGCAGCTCATCCATTGAGAAAACCAAACACAGGATTGATTGTAATTATAAGTGTATTTAGTTGGAAAGAAGGGCCACCAGATCTATTGACAAATGTCCTGGTCACATCAAGATATAACAAAGATTTACAAAGCATTGCCAATGCCAGCAGTGTCTATTCTGTCCATCCCCATTTCGGCAATTTTGGTTGTCTTCTCCTCTTAGATTTTCTTTTTCTGGAGTTTGCACTTGAATAAGCCCCCAAGACTGTGTAAGTCTTACTTGTGTAAGGTTGGAGACACATATGTTGGCATTATAAACAGAAGCACTTATCGGCCAAATATTGGACATAAAGGAAATGATTGCATCAGAGCCATGGCTCACTTTTCATCTCAAGATGCCACATGGGACCCAGTGCAGATGATTTATCCCTTGTGTCCCATGACTTGGCCAATTCCCCCTTTAAAAAGACTTTCTGCCACATTTCTGTTCAGGCATTCATTTCTCCATTTAGTAGCATGTTGCACTGATTTACTGTCACAGTTTTCCCCCTCCTGGTATAAACAACGATCTCTCAGAGATTGGACGTGAAGAGAGAGCCCAGCAGCTATCTTCACTTAGAAGTGAGGGAAGTAATCGATTTTCAATAAGTCTTGGAAAGGTTAATAATTATAGCAATAAATGAAATTTGGCCAGTGGATAAAATACAACTGGCAATGGGCAGCTGAAGCATACACTGTTGTAACACTGAGAAACAGCAAAGATGTGGACTTCTTGTTTTCCTCCTCTCCCCCTCACTACTTCTGTTGTTGTTGTTGTTGTTGTTGTTGTTGTTGTTGCTGCAATTACTCGCCATGATGCATTTTATTTCTTGATTTAATTTCATTATTAATTATTTATAGTCTCCTGTATCTCCCTCTGAAGGCAGATTGTAATTCCCTAAAACACAAACTCATTCCACCTGTAAAGTTATAATGTAGAACATACATAACGTAGAAAAAGTAGGAGCAGTTGACAGATGCAACTGCAGAATAAAACCACTCTAGGATAGTTGAAAAGCTAACGAGACTTTTCACAGTTCACTTAAGACCCTGCACAAGACCTTCCAAAGTGATGGGGCCATTACTCAACTGTCCCTCTTCCTGACATTCTCTAACTTACTTAGTAGATCTTGGAAGATTGGGAAGTTGCACCAGGAACTATTTGCATGGATTGTGCAGAGTGTGAATGCTCTTTCAGATAAGGCGGTTCCAGATATTTAGATCTTGGAATGTTAACACCCTGACCTCAAATTGGGCCTGGAAAGAGTTTGTATAGTCTTCAATTCACATTAGATAGATACGTTTTATTGATTGGCCTATTGGCTGTATCAAAACATTTAACACATAACGCAATTAACATAGTCATACATACAACATACAACCCTCGGTATAAAAGAAGTTAAAATAAACAAGCTGTTAACAAGATCTCGTTCAGGTCAAATGTCTGCGTCACCTCCACAGTTTACCAATTCACATTAGTTGTTGTAGTTCAGCATGATGGTAACGTTACTACTACTGGTAGAAGGGAGAAGAGGTCTGCGCAGGAGTTAGAGGAGGAACAACAGCGGAAGCGCATTAGGGAAATAATCATGGCCCCAAGTGATTCTGAGACGTTTGAGGGCTTCTCCGATTGTGCAATGGGGGATGGGGAGGAAAACAGGGGAGTAAAGAGGGCTACTCGCGATCTGGAGTCCGATGAGGAGCTTCAGAGGAAGTGCATCCGGGAAATACTTAGTGCTCCTATGGAGGACGAGGATTTCATGGGGTTTGAAAGGAGTGATGGGTCTGGGAGTGATATGGGAGAGGAGGAGGAGCTGGATTGGACCCGTGTTCAACAGATTAGGGGCATTTATAACCAACCCACCTCCAGTGATGAATTTGAGGGGTTCACAGGGGATTGGCAACCGGGGAGCACTTGGCAAGCTCTAAGTCTTGGCAGACGCTGGCAGAGGTGGAGGGATGCGCGCTCAGGTTCAGCTGCGGGGATGGATGCAGCTGAGAGTGATGAGGAAAGGGTGGGGAGCTCATCATCCTCTAATGAGGAGTTGTAGGATAAAAGTGGGTTCAAAATGTATGGCTCTTTGCAGAAGGCAAAGTGTCTTTATGGGACATAAATCTTTGTTACTGCCAACTCTCAAGCTTGGGTCCTTGGGCTACAGCTTCCAGTGTTCCCGTGTTCCTGTGATTCCTGCATTCCAGTGTTTACATTACTCAACGGCTTGACCACGGACCGGTTTGACTATCACTTTTGGCTTTTTTGGACTTTAAACATTGCTAACTTCGTGTTTGAACATTGCATCGTTTTGGGACTCCGTTTTCCATCTTCTGTGACTGTGTTTTTGTACTGTGTTAATTTTTGAGCAGATTGCTGAACTTTGAGTTTAACCCGGATTAAACAGCGTTATAATCCGGGTTATATTTTTGTTGTTGGTATCGCTTTGTTTTTGATGCCAAATTGCTGCTCTGACTCTTTGCACTGAAGTTAAGTGCTTTGAGACTATTTTTGCATAATAAGGCTGTGTTTGAACTCTTTATCTTGTGTTTCGCTCTACTTAAGGCTTCTGGGTCTTGACATTAGTCCTGGCCCTCATTGTAAGTAGTGAGCAGTGGTGTGTGTTGTAGTCCACCAGCATTGGATTTAAGCATGCATACCCTGCAACATTTCACAGATGAAAACCAGGACATGTGGCCAAGCAGCATCAGAATATAGTCAGGATGACATTTGTTGTCCACTTTTCTTGGACTGGCAAAAGGAGACACAGTCAGGCTTAATCGAAATCTTGGTGTTTGCCCACATGTCTGATTCTGGAACCTTCTCAGATGCTGGAGTGAGGGGTTTTTTTTAGCACAAATGACTAAACTTTGGGGTTTCCCTGCCAAGGTAATACTTTCTCACCAAGTTATAATTCTAAAAATAGTGATTACCATATTCTGCGCTCTCCCGCACCCCTCTTTTTTACAGGGAATGCTTCACACCACCATTTTGGCAACTCAGAAATCTCAGCAT